ACGCCAACACCCACACACACACATACGCGCCCGCATGCATACACGCGCGCATATATTGTAACTTATATTATTTGTTCTTAATATTTAAATTAAAAAAGATAGACAAGAAAGAGTTTTTAACATTTTTACATTTTTTACTACGTTACCCTCTACGTTATTTTGAGACAGACTGGGGGATGGAACTTATCCCGGCAAAGGGGTTGTCCATCAAAGACGTTACACGCGTAGGGGGGATGGGGGGGGGGTCCGTAATTTTGTGACGGTGTGTGATGAGGGGAAGGGGGGGGGGTTCAGATGGTGTGACGTCAATTATTTGCATTATAAAAAAGCATTGTTAGAAAACGAGTTTTAGCCTCTATTTAGCGTTTTATAAAACGGTTTTAATAAATTCTAATAGGAATTGATAAAAAAAAAATCTATATTGGCAGAGCTCTGACAAGATTTTGGGAAAAATATCGATGTTTCTAGAAAAATTCAACAGCAATTTTGAGGGGGGTTGTAGGCAGAGGTGTGACGTCATTTAAAGGGGGGTCTGGCTTTTTGTGACGACGTGTGACGGAGGGGAGGGGGGAGGTAAAAATCGTCACAAAAAAAGCGTGACGTCATTTATGGATGTACCCAGACTACGGCCTAAAATCTCCTTTTTTCCCACTAACGGATTTAATAAGATATTCTTTAATTTACTTGACGGTAAATTTATTAAATATGATTTTTTTTTCATTTACAGATGGGTTTTCGGTTGTCATCGGTGATTTTGTTGACGACCACACTTGGTGGATGTTATTCAGGTAGGTGTTAGTTTTTTTTAATTATTTCATAAACTCCGTTATGCTCAAAATGATTATACCCTCGTCCTTTACGATTTTGCGTTAGATAAATATAATCGATGAGTAATACATGAGACTATACTATACACGAGCCAACAATTGTATTGACAAATCTAATCGAGAACTTTCCAGCAACTATACGAGGGAGCAGGAAGGGCACAATGCACGCCTCTTTTAAAAAAATATAAATAAATGTAGGATTTATACGGAACATGTCCCCCGGAAATTTTGTGTGCTTCTTTTGGAAGTTTCAAGTGCCCTTATCCTTTGTGGGAAAATGTCTGAAAGAAACCCTGGTCAATCCTAAATCATTATCGGATAATTAATTGCTAATTAAACCTGTCCGTTACTCTAGCTATTAAAGCAAAAAAACAACAACAAACAACTGAATAAATAACAAGCTAAGCAGGGGTAAGAACACATTTTCAGTTTTTTTTTTAAAAAACTAGTCGTCCCCCCCCCCCCCCTATAATGAAAATTGCTTCACCGGCTTTACTACTCATTTTGATATAATCCTATCTGAAATTTAAAACAAAAGAAAAACATAAATTGATAGATATATTGTTTCGTTTTCTCCGCAGCTATGAGCGGTGATTATTTTATACTGGGCCTGGCCGAAATGAACGACGGTCAGGCGACCGTGTACGTCAGCACAGTGTCCCTGACCCCCATTGACGTGGCCCTGGGGGTCAGGTGTGACGGTTACAAGGTTAACACCACAGTCCAGATCAGGCGAGGCCAGTCCATTCCTTTCTGTGTAACAGAGGACATGCTATAGTAAGAGCTTGTCTGTTCTTAACGAATTATCTATACATACATATACTTGTATATGATACATAAAAACAGGAAATACATACATACATACATATATATATATATATATATATATATATATATATATATATATATATATATATATATATATATATATATATATATATATATATGTGTGTGTATATATATATATATATATATATATATATATATATATATATATATATATATATATATATATATATATATATATATATATATATATATGTATATATATATATATATATATATATATATATATATATATATATATATATATATATATATATATATATATATATATATATATATATATATATGTATATATATATATATATATATATATATATATATATATATATATATATATATGATATATATATATATATATATGTGTGTGTGTGTGTGTGTGTGTGTGTAGGCCTATATACGGTGACAGGACAAATGATCTAATTCTAAAATATTAATAACGGAGACTAAAGATCTTAAATAGACATTAAATTAAACAGATATCAAATTAAATATATCTCAGGACAAAATTATCAGAAAAAAAAAATTCCCATCACCTAGGCTAGTATTTATGAAGCTGTTTGATGGGTCATTATCGCGAGTTGCAGCCTGCAAATGCTTCACTAGGTGGTATCAATATCCCCCACCCCACCATTCGATCCCATTGTGATGTCATTCACGACGACGACGTAGTAGCCATTTTGTTTCTGTTACCCTTCCGTGCCTGGCAGTCCATCGGGCAGATGCGGTAGATCTTTTACTGGTTTCTGTGATATCAGAATATGAAACGAGACTATGTTCAGTAGTCTAACGCCAGTCAGGTACCCATTAGAGCTGATTGGGCTCAGGGATGTCCAACGGACTCTAGCCCGGGGATAGGAACTGGAAATTTTCGATGTTGGCAGTCGTACCTTTTACCACCTCACCACAACGTTCCATTATAGAAACGTCTAAACCACATTCAACCCATTTGAACCCCACCTGAACCCACACTGAACCCCATCTGAACACCATCTGAACCCAATCTGAACCCAATCTGTACCCCATATGATAACAATCTGAACCCCATCTGAACCCTATCTGAACCCCGCCTGAACCCCTGTTTGAACCCCCATCTGAAAACTATTTTAACCCATTCTGAACCCCATTTGAACCCCCATCTGAAAACCATTTTAACCCTATCTGAACCCTCTCTGAACCCCCATCTGAAACCCATCTAAGCCCCATCTGTAACCCATCTGAACCCCATCTGAACCCCCATCTGAAAACCATTTTAAACCCCACCTGAACCCCACCTGAACCCTATCTGAACCCCATCTGAACTCTATCTGAACCCCCATCTGAACCCCACCTAAACCCCACCTGAACCCCATCTGAACTCCATCTGAACCCCCATCTGAAAACCATTTTAACCACAACTGAACCCCACCTGAACCCCACCTGAACCCCATCTGAACCCTATCTGAACCCTATCTGAACCTCCTAGCGATCAGTGCTGGAACCTGGTCCTGAAGGGCACGGGAGAGTTCAGCGTCGTGTTGAAGTATACCCACGGCACCGACACCGACACGACGGTGGTCCTGCCAGTGTCGGCATTTGGTAGGAAGTACCATTTTAAATACCTGTAGTAAGTGCATGCATTCTTTGTTTTGTATGTGTATGCGTTTTGAATGTATGCGTTATGGTGTTAACTGTTTGTATCGGAGGTACCATTTTAAATACCTGTAGTAAGTACATACATTCTCTGTTGTGTATGAGTTTTGAATGTATGCGTTGTGGTGTTAACTGTAAATGTATGTGAACGGTAAAATGACGAAAGCAAGCTAATAAATAGAATGTCAAAGCAAGGTGTTTAAATCCAGAGGCATCGCTAGGTCGGGTTTAACCCGGTGCGGCACCTCGTAGTATCACCCCCCCCCCCTCCTTTTTGTTCTGTAAATTTTGCAGTTGTTGTCATCCACCAACTCCCAACCCCTACCTAAGTAAAAGCTTTAAACTGTTCACATTTTATACTCATGATGTTTATCTATAGTCGGTCGTTAACAGAGCTGGATGTAGCATTGATTTTTCCTTAGTTTGCATGTTTACGTGATGGTGTCACCCCCCCCCCCCCCCCCTCTTCGTTGTCGGAAACTAAATTATTTACTTAAAATACCTTTTAGCTCTAATTAACAATTCACTTAACTGGCAAACAAATATTTTTATTCTATTTATCTTGCAATATTGTTTTCTTGGCATCAACCCCCTGAATGGTGTCACCCGGTTCGGTCCCCACCCTCCTCTCCCTCCACGCGACGCCTCTGTATAAATCATAATATAAAAAAAATATTTAAGATATTTTGTAATTTATTTGAACGTGCCGTGGATTTAATAGATAGAATGCCGAGAACTCTTATACGAAAGTGTGAACTGTCAATTTTGGATACAAGTTTAATAAAAAAAATGTGTACGCATGAAGAAGTAGTATCGTATTATTTTATACATTATGTAAAAAGGAAAGAAAAAATAAAATAAAAATTAACCATAAAAACTGATCTAACCTAATTTTTTTAGAGTTACAGCTTAAAGCTAGAAAAATGAACCTAGATCCATGAACTCGACGCTAGGGAGTAGAAAGTAGATGCTACACCTAGATTATAATCAAAGGTGTTAGGGTTAGTTTAAGACGAGCATTTGGGTTTGGGTTTAGGTGTTTGTTGACAGTTTCCATGTTTAGTCCACGAATAACTTCCTTAGAGCACGTTAAGCGTTGTTTCCTGGGTGTTTCTATAGTTAAAACCTTGTTAGTAATGTATCATCTTTTCCCGTTCGTTCCCAAGACACATGGAGCAGGTGAAGTAGAGTTTAACTGTTTCAATGTATCTGGCATACATGGAGGGTAGTGTGGTCAGCACCATGTCAGGCCTTAGTTTCCCTAACGTGAGTCCAGTACTAATTAGAGCTGGGTGGACACAGGAACATCTTATAGACTCGAACCCTGGATCCAAACTTTAGACTTTAGGGTTAGCAGTCTTAAAGATCTACTAACCGACTACGCTGTCCCCGTTAATGTCTTATTTGTGCTAACAACGGTTTGTGCGTTACTCAATACCTAACACTGTTGGTAACACATTGTGAGATTTTCTTCAGGAATATTTTTATTTCTTTACTGTGCCGGTTCCCTTGCTATTTTATTAAATATATTCTTATGGAACTTCATAAATAATTCAAAGTTAACCGGCAAATTTTAATCATTCTATAGATAAATACAATAATGAATTGAAAAAAATAAGCTTAGAAGTTATTAACTTATTATCTGTATTGTCGTCACCCCCTCCCCTCCCCACCTCATTAGCAAGAGGACACGATTTATTGTGATAGGCACACACCCCGCCAAGACCCGGGTCCACATCAAATTTTACAGGCCACACGAAGACATCAGGGACTTGTTTCAATACAAGCAACACATCGACGTCGACGGGTAAAGAATACAATAGAATAAACATATTTTGTTGTTAGTATCAGTGTTTCTTCCAGACTTTTTTCTCCGGGTGGGGGGGGGGGGGGGCACTTGAATTTTCGGGGGGGGGGGGGGCGGACACTGTTAAAATTATATATTTTCTATTTAAATTTCATTTTGTTCGGGGGGGGGGGGGGGGGTGAGGTGCCTGGAAGAAACTCGGGTTATTATTGCTGACACAGTTGTTACTTGGGAAACAAAGTGGACAAGGATTCGGGTGGGGGGGGGGGGGTAGTAGTAGATAACTCAAGAAGAAATCTTAATTTTGATATACCCGCTCCATGTAGAAAAAAAAACCTTTCGCTACACCCAATACACTTGACTGATATAGCAGCGAAGGGCGGGTATATATATATATATATATATATATATATATATATATATATATATATATATATATATATATATGCATATATACATACCCGTGTGTATTGATATGTCTACAGATGTATATTTCTATATATATTTAAATAAGTAACTAAATAAGTAAATAAATAAATAAATAAATTATATATATATATATATATATATATATATATATATATATATATATATATATATATATATATATATATATATATATAATATATATATATATATATATATATATATATATATATATATATATATATATATATATATATATATATATATATATATATATATATATATATATATATATATATATATCTTGCATATAGAGAATCAAGTAGTAAAATTGAGACCTATTGTGAAGAGAGACCCGAACATTTAACTACAGGTAAGTGCATGTTTATCCCGTGTTACAGGCACTAAATTATCCATCTCGCTATAACCCATTATTGTCTATGAATAAAGTGTTGCGAATTTTCCTTTTTCTAACGGTATCAAACGATATCGGAATTACAAACAATACGTTATTGAATTGACATCATGGGCAGATGAGACGCAATAGTTGGGGACAGCATTGTCACAGCATTCCATCTTGGAAAGAAACTAAAAAATGAAAGAACTGCTGCTTTGTAGTTTGTTCTTGGCTGGACAAAGGCTGTGGAAGTAATTCCAGAAATAAAAGCAGTCTGAAACCAGAGTCAACGACTTATAATGTGCATAACAAGTTAACTCGTAATACTTAATTAGCTTGGAAGAAATATCCCGTCCACATTACAATTAAGAGCAAAAACAATAAAGAAATAAAATACTTAAAAAAAACTTTTTAAAAAACCACGTTTTTCTTGTGGACTAAAAAGTAGAAAATAAATTTTTCTTTTGTGCTTCCTCGAGCTGTGCAGGTTCTTGTGATGGCTGACAAAAAACGTGGGTACGTTCACCATCAAATTTCCCGACCCATCTGCCCGACCCACGTTTTTTTGCCAGTCATCACAAGAACCTGCACAGCTTGAGGAAGCACAAAAGAAAAATTTATTTTCTACTTTTTAGTCCACAAGAAAAACGTGTTTTTTTTTTAAAGTTTTTTTTTAAGTATTTTATTTTCTCCTTTTTAGTCCGTTGCTACACATGAAAAACGTGGTTTTTAAAAAGTTTTTATATAGTTTATTTTCTACTTTATCTAATGACTTGATTAAGTATGACTTGACTAAGTGTTTTTAAATACACGGACTAAAAATCTTGAGCGACCGATACGCTTTAAACCGAGAAGGGGCGTAATTTAATTAAGCCTACATGCCGTGACCAGGATTCGAACCTGGGTTGTCGCGGCCACAACGCGAAGTACTAACCACTATACGATCACGACCAGCGCGCTCACGTCGATTGGAGCCGAAGTAACTGTGTCAATACGCCTCCAGTCTTGTCGGTATCTTTAGAAATCATGTCCTCAATTTTATGGTCCTTGGGGCGTAATTTAATTAAGCTAATTTAAGTCTCTAATTGCTAGTTTTTATGATTGCATCTGAAATTGTTAGGCGAAAATAGCCTGCATGCCAAATTTCAGATCTCTAGAGCAATCAGAAGTGGGCTAATTTTCGATGTCAATTTTAACAACAAACACATCCACAAACGCGAAGCTGAGTTAAGAAAAACGTGTTAAAAACGTGTTAAAATTGACATACTCATTTCAAAACCTTTTAGTCGGGACCAAATTTTTTACAGGCTATTTTGACGGTGCAATCCCCTACTCACTCAGCAAAACAAAGTTTTACCAAAATAAAATCTACCACCTTATACACATCTTCACTTTATACAGAACTAGCCGTCCCGACCAGGCCCTGCACTGGCCTCTGTGAAAAACGTATCTGTAAAGGACCATGACATATGTGTTTAGTAATCAGCATATACCAGGCAATTGAACGTTATATATCAGATTTTACCAAAACAAACATAAGTTTTTATGTGTTTTTGTTGTTGTTGTTGTTGTAGCTCTGAATCTGGATGCTGAGCAGTCTTTTGGTGTGATGCTGTCGTATTGTGAATTGTGTGGGAGGCCGAGTCCGACATACAACTTAGGTGAGTTGGTTGGGAGGCGGAGGAGACATTGTGGGTAAGTATGTGAGGGTGGGGGAGGGCGAGTCATACAACTTAGGCGAGTTGTTGGTTAGCTTGTATAATCGATGTGACGTCACAGTCTTTCACTATGCATTTAAACAATTTCCTTGTGTTTTCTCAAGAGCGTTCCGGACAGACAGACGGAAAGACATACGGACAGTAGCAAAACTACTATAGTGATAAAACACAAAGTAGGTGACATTTCAGTGCAACAAGGATATAGAAATATGTTGTTTTTTTTTACATTTTAAGGGTAAAAAATAATTTCGCACCAAATGAACGCATACGATATGTGTATAATAGCACAGAAAATTAATATTTTACAATGAAAACATTTGCTTAGTTTTTAAAACAATTAATTTTACGTAAAGTTGCATTTTATGTCACTGTGCATTTTCATCGGGTCGACTTAAGTAAAAAATGATTAAGAAATCGATCCGATAGAAGTTTTTTTTTTAAGTGATCGGAGAAAGCGTAAGTTCTAATTCTGATTACCGTGAATCACTGAAAACGTGACAGAATAAGATCTTATACCTATGTATGAAATTGCGACTACCTAACTGAAACAGTACTCAAGTTATCGTATTCACGCGGAAATAGAGTAAAGTACCACTTCCAGGTAACGGAAAACGCCAAAAAGCTGGTAGAAACCGGCGCATAAATTGTAACACTTATATGAAAAAATTCGTCCACTTTACTGAAATAGTAATTTTTTTTAAGAAACAGAGCAGAGTAGGTGCGACTTCCGGTAACCGGTAATCGCTCAAATGTTGAGAGGTAATTACAAATTTTATATTGTACTTTATATACAGTTTGTCAAAATAACTGAAACTGTACTCAAGTTATCGTGTTCGCAGACACACACACACAGACAAAATTTCACTACTACTTTTTTTTTTATTCAGAGAGATGTAAAACGTCAAGATTTGTTAAAATCTCAATTCCGATTTTTTTTTTGCACAATTATATTTATAATCATCCTCTTTACTCCGACTACGAGAAAGAAAAATAAAATAAACCGGGAGTGATCTCCTCTAAACTTTCTCGAATATTCTTATATAACACTAGATCTTACGTGGGATGGCAACTCGGAAATTAGACATGATTTTTAATTACTTAAACTTTTTAAAATAGAATAGAATCTCGTAGAAAAAAGAATTGCGCACCAAGCGAACGCCAAAACAAAATGTGCATAATAGTGCGGAATATTATTAGCACTTTATAAATCTACATGCGTTTTTTGAGAAATCAGAAATAGCGTAAATTATTACTTCCGGTCAATGGAAATTGCCCAAAATTTGATAGAAAGTAGAAAATTAGATCCTTCACTTACACGTGAAATTTAATTTATCTATCTGAAATAGTACTCAAGTTATAGGCTTTTGAAAAATTCAAAGTAGAAAAAGTACCACTTTCTGTTATCGGAAATTGCTCAAAAGTTAATACGGATCTACGATTTTGATAAAATACTTATATATGAAATTTCATCAACCTAGCTGTAACGGGAATTCAGTTATCGTGTTTACAGACACACACACACACACATACACACAGACATACGACAACATTGCAAAAATATGTTTTTCCGAATCAGGGAGGTGTAAAACGTCGAGATTTTTACAAATCTCGATTTTTTTTTAACGATTACAAGACTTCGTAAGACTCTATACTTCGTATGTATATCCAAGAAAGTAAAAACGTCATCTAGGGGAGATAATAAAACACATTAATTTTTTTTCATATTTCGTGTGAATTTCCAGTTTATATTTTAATTTTTACTAAATGTATTTCTTATCACTTATATAATACTACGTTTTTATGGAATTTTGAGATGTATTTGAGCTAAAATATTAATATGATTATAAAAGTGCTATAAGCCATTTTTTTATACACCATTGCCTTACAAGTGTTTACTAGCAATAAATAAAATTAAAACGGCCCATGCTTTGCAAATAATCTTGATTTATGCATATTTTGGATCCCTGTAAATCAAGGGACAAAAACCCAAATGTAGCGAATGGTAATGGAAGTGCGGAAATGCACAGAAATGTTCCACCGCGCATTTCAGCAATGGGAAATCAGCCTCAATTACAACCATATGAGGCATTCAATTCCCCCTAATATATATATATATATATATATATATATATATATATATATATATATATATATATATATATATATATATATATATATATTTATATATCTAAATATATAAAGTAAAGTGGTCGGGTGCCCGATAGGGCACTTCCCGGCGCCGCAGGCGCGTCAAATTTGGCACGATGGTGCCTTGGGATGATAGAACACGAGGGCCGGTGACGGTTCGCCGAAAAGTCTACGGACAGGGGGTCAAAACTGACCTCGACTGACCGGCGCCTTATATGGGCTATATTACGAAAACAAATTTCCTCCGACGACCCCCCTTGAAATTTTGTGAGGTGGTAGACAAACGCCTTGGGGTGTCACAAAAAACTCGGCATATCTGGGAAAACTTCGTAAAGGGGTCAAAACTGACCAGTTGTATTTCCCTATATAATCTTTGTATTTTATGCGAAAAACAGAGGGTCATTTCAACGCGGATTTTAGGGTACTTAAACTCAGTATATCTGTTTAACTTTTTGCATACTATTAGGTAAATGGCTTGACCTTTAGGGAAAACTGTCGGTTTGACTCAAAGCCCTCGACGAGGGCTAAAAAGTGACCGCGAGTGAAATTCTCTTTATATGAGCTCTATTACGAAAAAAAATTTCCTCCGAAGACCCCCCCCCCCCCCTTGAAATTTTCTGAGGTGGTAGGAGAATGTCTTGGGGTGTCTCAAAAAAACTCGCCATTTCCGGGAGAAATCGGGAAATGGGTTAAAACTGACCAGTCGTATTTCCCTATATAAACTTTGTATTTTATGGGCAAAACAGGGTAATTTAAATGTATATTTTGTTATAAATTAAGTTTTGTATTGTATTGAAGTTGTAAAATTAATTGCATAAGTAATTTAATATAATATTTGATTGATAATTTTTATGAAAGCCCTTTCAGTTCTAATAACCTTGCGAGTAATAAGTTTGCGAATGTTCCATCAATTTATGGTTACACTAGGAGTACCCCACTGTATAAATTTAGGCCCTTAGCATTTAACATAACATCCAATCATTCAATTTCTCAACCTTTTTGAAAACCTAAGCGAAGCTAGGCAGTATGCCTAATATATATATATATATATATATATATATATATATATATATATATATATATATATTCTATTTTGGGTTGAATTGTTTCAGTAAAACCCATTTCTGTAGTAATCACATCCTTGTATTCATTTATTATTTTGTCCATTATGTTTTTCTCATTCACTGTGATATGATAAGTCTTAATTTCTTGCGTATTACAGCTTTCACTTATTATAGTACAGGCCATATGTTCCTCTTCTATCAGTTTCTCTGGCTCTGCATATAATTTTTTCATTCTGTCTATGTGTATAGGAGTGTTATTTCCCTTTATGTTTATTTCATAATTTACATCAGATAGTTTCTTGATTACTCCAAAAGGTCCTTGAAATGCTTCTATGTTTTCTCTGTCTGGCAGTTTGACAAAAACTAAATCTTCTCTTTCAAAAATTCTTAAATATCTATGTTTGTTTTTTATATTTCTGTGTCTTTCACTGGCTAACTGTGCATTCTCTAGGGCTGTCTGAACACCATAAAGTATTTTCTCTGTAGTCTGGTTTACTAGTTCATGAGGATCAAATTCCTCTTGCTGTTTATTTAATAATTTGTGTTTCAATAAAGTTAATGGGTCTCTTGGCTTTACCCCATATATCAGTTCAAAAGGAGAAAAACCTGTTGACTCATGTTTAGTCTCTCTGTTTGTGAATAGTACTTGAGATTGGTTACTTTTACTTTTTTCTAACTCTAACTCATGCTGTCTCTGTTTTTCTCTATCTTCTAATTGTCTCTGTTTTTCTCTATCTTCTAATTGTCTCTGTTTTTCTCTATCTTCTAATTGTCTCTGTTTTTCTCTATCTTCTAATTGTCTCTGTTTTTCTCTATCTTCGGCTTCTATTTTAACTTCTGCTAGATCTAGTTCCCTATCAGCCTCCCTTTTAACTTTTTCTTTCTCAGCCTTTGTGTTAACTTTTTTCTTCTCATCCTCCATTTAAATTTTTCCAACTCAGCCTTCACTTTAGCTATTTTCTTCTCCAGCTCCATTTTATATTTAACTTTAGCCTTCTCAGCCTCCCTTTTAACTTTTTCATCAGCTACCTTCTTTTCTACCCAATTTGCCTTCTCTGCCCCAGTGTATCCTAACAAATCAGCAAACTCAATGTATTTGGCATAGAACTCGAACTCCATCGTAATGATGCAAGCACAGTTATTCAGTTACAATACTAAATCTAGATTAAATTCTTTCCTTCACGGTGTTGAGCACCGACCACTTCTGACACCAAAATGTCACAGGCCTTTCTCCTATCTTTTATATTACACATACAAAATCAAAAGACAAGCCTTTTTTTGCAGTTTTTCATATTTATTTCGTTTTCACACAGGCAGCGTGTTCACTCAAGCTACGCCATTTTCTTGCCTCCTTTTCCACTTGTTCCTTCCTCTCGCGCATGCGCACAGCCACTGTCTCCCTGATGCAATCTCGCCTTTTACAACACACACACTCACAAGATACAATCCACCAATATTTCACTGTTATACCTAGCTACAATACTTTACTCTGTTTTGTGCGAAGCATGTGTATGTTTTTACGGTGCGCGGACCTTTGACCACAGGTGCTTTGACCATAAGGGGTTTGACCATAGGGGGTTTGACCATAGCGGTGCTTTGACCATAGGGGGTTTGATCATAGGGGGTTTGACCATACGGGGTTTGACCACAGGTGTTTTCTCAGCAGAGGGTCTTTGATCACAGGTGATCTATAAATGGGTGTTTGATCACAAGCGCTGTTTAAGCTATGGCATATCAGTTGTGTTTCAAGTATATGGCGCATTTACATACTCTATGTATATTATGTATGTTGTTGCTTACCAGCAGTAGCGTAGCCAGAATCGTCTCATGGGGGGGGGGGGTCAAATTTTTACCCGGGGACAAACTTTAGATTTGCAGCCCCCTCAAACTTTCGATTTTGATAAAATACTTATATATGAAATTTCATCAACCTAGCTGTAACGGTACTCAAGTAATCGTGTTTACACACAGACACACAGACACACACACACACATACACACACACACAGACACACAGACATACGGACAAGATTGCAAAATTATGTTTTTCCGTATTTTTTTGCACGATTACAATACTTTCTCTATACTTCGTATATTCGAGAAAGTAAAAAAGCTCATCCAAGGGAAATAATTGCAAATTTTTATTGCTTTGTGATTCTAGCCTAAATCTCTTAAATAATTACATTTGTTATTATAAAACAATTAATCTTACATAATATTTACTTAAGAAAACATAATTTTATGTTACAGATTTGAAATATTTTCAACTATAATTTTTTATTTATATATATATATATATAGATATAAACTTATTAGTAAACCCGTGATATTTTAAGTATCGTTTTTTTATATGAAAAATAAAATACTTATATTTTATACGAACTTGTTCAATGTAAAAATGAAAATTTTGGATCCCCCTGATAATAGGGGACAATTTTAAAATTTAAGCGAGAGTGATCACCCTTAAACCTTCTGTACCATTCTTACACATCAACGCTGGGACGGCAACTCGGGATACAAATATGATTTTTAATCATCAGTTTTTACATACTCAAAGTTTTTAAGATAGAATAGAATCTAGTCGAAAACAGAATTGCGCACCAAGCGAACAATATGCGCATAATAGTGCGGAACAGGGGCGTAGCGAGGGGGAGGGGGCGGGGGCGGGGGGTGCGGACCGCACCGGGTGACACCATTTAGGGGGGTGACACCAAGGCAAAAAATAGAAAAACATATAGAGAAAAACTTGAAAGGGGGGGGGGGGGTGCATGCAAAATCGAAAGTTTGAGGGGAGGAGGGGTGCAAATCGAAATTTTGAAAGTTTGTCCCCGGGCGGGAAGGGTCGCTACGCCTCTGGGGGGTGACACCATTAAGTGCCGCACCGGGTGACATCCGACCTCGCTACGCCACTGGTGCGGAATACTAGTTTATATATATATATATATATATATATATATATATATATATATATATATATATATATATATATATATATATATATTTATATATGTAATTCTCTTCATGGAGACCATACAAAACACCATACAGCTTAGCCACCACCCTCATCCCCACCTGTCAAGAGAGCTGTGGTTCACCTCGAATGTTTACAATCGTAAACCCGTAGAGCCTCGTTAGTGACGGCTGTTACGGGCAGATAATTTAGTAGTAAACGATTTGAAACGAAGGGGATTCTGATTGATCTTTTCTTTGTCTATAAACGACTGCCTTCACTGGACGGGAGGGGGGGGGGGGGAGGAGGGAGGGCAGGAGGGGGTAGTGTTGAATTCACAAATTATGAATTGCTGATAAGCAGAGTATAAAACAACTAGATGGCGGCGTATACTACGTCGCGGGTCAGCTCGTTCCTTAAAAAGTCAACGGAAATTACTCAAAAATCGACAGAAGAGAATTAGATCAGTTACTTATGTGTAACATTTCGAGCATCTATGTAAAATGGTATTCCTCTTGGAGAGTGTTGAAAAAAACTAAAGTATAATAACTTTCACCTCCGGTTACCGGAAATCGCTGAAAAGATGATACAGAACTACCAATTTGATATAATGATTATATATGAAATGTCATCAACCTAACTGTACTTAAGTTACCGTGTTCACAGACATACTTCGTATACACGAAAGTAAAAAAAAAAATGAAGCGGGAGTGATCCCCCCTCCCTAAGATTTCTTACTGTATATTCATACTTGACAGTAAGGAGAATGTCACTTACATAGTAATCGTGCAAGAGATGTTTTGTTTTTGTTTTTTAACAGATCACGTTGGAAAAAGAATTGCATAACAAGTGAACGCAAACAAACTGTGCTTATAATAGATTGGTGATTAGTACTTTATCAAAGAAATATTGATTACCTTTTTGAGAAATCGTAAACAGCCTAAAGTACTGTTTCCGGTCACCGGAAATCACTTAAAATTTGACAGTATCAAGTAGATAAGATAGTACACCTATGTATAAAATTTGTTGTACCTAACTGAAACTGTATTCAAATAATCGGTATCTTTGAAGCCAGAATTAAAGTTCCACCTGAGGTCACTCAAAAATTTAAAGTCATCAATGTTTAAGATCTTATACTTATGTATGCAATGTTGTATTCCTGTCTACCAATCTGAAAACAGTACTCATGTTAGCAGTGGCGTAGGCAAGGGGGGGGGTTAGGGGGGGCCATAACCCCCCCCCCCCATAGATCCCTCGGTATATAGAAAAAGTATGAGGGGGGGTGCAAATCGAAAGTTTGTCCCCGGGTAAAAATTGGAACCCCCCCCTTGAGACGATCCTGGCTACGCCACTGCATGTTAGTATTGTTATTGTTAACGTCAGTGTTTCTTTCAGGCCTCTCTTACAGCCCCCCCCCCCCCCCTCCCCGTAATTTAAATACCCCCTCTTTCCCCCCTACCCCTCCCACCGAAGAAAAAAAAAGTCTGGAAGAACAACAGCTTAATCAATTAGTTAGTGTTACGAACAATCGACCTTTTCGTTCAACTCAAAACACAATTCCAGGCACTGTTCAAACCTTTATTTAACTTGTCAGCTTCACAAATTACACCACAAGCCCTCGTCCCTAGCCGCTACCAACCAACCCCTTACAATTGTTCACTCGACCTTGGGATAACAATACTTAAACACCCCTGGGTTAACTCACACACGCCTCTCCCCTACGTTTTAGACTATTCCAGCCTATTCTAACCTAACTAACAACTGACCTGTAACAGTCAGCAATATGATGTAAATACAAGACATATCTTAATTTTAAGGTTATTTTTTTTTTCTTAACATCAAAATATATCGAAATATATTTTGTTCTATGTAAAAAAATATTTTTTTTGAAAAGCTTGATATTTAATATACAAATGCTGTATATTTTTGGTCAGAAATATTGTGAAGTTACAATTAGAAATGCTATTTTATTTTATTTAGAAATGCCGTATATTTTTGTAGCTTAGTTTTATTTAAAAAAGGCTGCAAGTCTTTATTTTAAAATGTGTATTTTTAAAAATACTGTATATTTATATTTTGAAAAGTATAGTTTCGTTTAGAAATATAATATATTTTATTTTTTAGAGATGCTGTTGCCAATGAATACCTATGGCAGACATTTCGTCAATTTGAAACTGAAAGACAACCTCGACTTGAAACTTGAGAACTATTTAGTGGTTATCGCTCCTTACGCCATGACAACTGTGGGGTTTTTCGACGAGGGAGGGGAGAGAATCTCTACGAGGGTTGTAGAGATGGGACATCTCCTTCATGTAAGTTGGTTACCTGTTCTTGTGCGACTGGCTAGTTAGCCCCAACACATTAATTAATACGAGCCGTTCGCAGCGTATCATACGCCGCTATTTAGTTGTTTTATTTTCTACTTTTCAGTAATTCATAATTTGTGAATTCGACAGTACCAATGCTGCCACTGAAAATATTTGCTTTAAAACACTAACCCCTCCTCCCTTTCCCCTAACCCCGACCCTACCCCCCCCACCCCTCCCGTGAAAGCAGCCTCCTCTTAGTTACCTCATGTAAATTTAAAATCGTTTCAAACTAAATTATCTGCCCCTAATAGCCGTCACTAAACCCGGCTCTACGATTTGTAAACATTTAATTTAGCATGACCACAACTCACCAGACAATGTGGGGGTGGGGTGGGGGTGGTAGTGATAATGATAGTGATAGAGAGAAAGAGAGGGGACTGCAAGGCGCGCTTGCAGCTTGTTTTCTAACGACTTCCAGAAGAGAATTATATATATAGATTATTTTACTTAAAGAAATAGTTTTTTTTTTAAAAAGATGCTAACCTTTTTTTAATAAGTTGGAGTATTATAAAATAATCATAACATTTTTATTACTAAAAATTCTAAAATAATTTTAAAAAGCCTTTTTGTCGGGGCCATTTTGATGGGGCATTTAGTCGCGGGCTGATTTTGGGGCCGTTTTTTTTTTGGGGGGGGGGGGCTTTTTGTCACAGGCCGTTTAGACAGTGCATCCCCACAAAAAGTAGGCTATACTCATTTAGTAAAATACATATTTACCAAAACAATCATCACCTAATTCAAAGTTTCACCAAAATACAATTATCTCCTTATTCAAAACTTCTAAAAAAAAAATCAACACTATATTCAAAACTTCTTCAAAAAAATCACCACCTTATCTAAAACTACACTAGTCAAATATTACTACCAATGTTCCCTCTAAGGACCAAGAGTGTGTGTGCAAAAAATATGTTGTGTGCGCGGTGCTAAAAATGACTTGGGCAAGTTAATATGTATGTTGAAGCTTGCAATTAAGGAGTGTAATGAAGGCATGCATTTTGATAAATTGATAAATTAATAGTATAATGTGTAGGACTAATGAAACGTATGCAATTAAAAGAAGATACAAATCCCATCTAAATAAAATAAAATACACAACAGGAACTTTTAGAGTTATACTTAGACAACAGGTTATATGGTCGACGTACTTTGTTAGTGTAATGCAATCGTATGTTAAAAATGTTAATACCATAACGGTAACACAAATACAACAGTTTAACATGTAAACCATTTTAAAGAGCTGACTTGAAAACAAAATTAGCTAACCTTTCAGGGGCATTTATTGCAATTTCTCGCGTCTAACCTTGCCTTGCTTCCACACCTTATATGCTTTGTTTAAATCCACATCCTCTCCAGCATTTAGATATAATTTAATTTGTATTAGATTCTCCAAATGTGTGGCTTCAAGTATATTTCGTACTTGCACTTTAATGCTGTTCATAAGACTAAAACCTCGCTCGCAATCAGCGCTAAATACTTGAAAAGTACAGCATATGTCAATTAACTTTGCCAATGAGCTAAAGTGTTCATCATTTAAAGCAACTCCTGCGTTTTCAGTTAGTGCATTTACTGAACCTGATTTGAGTTTTTCACTAATCTGAAATTTGAAGTCATTTATTGCGTGATAATTGACTCTTCATTTGTTGTTTGTAATACGTCTTTGTACTTTACGCACAGTTCTTTGATATCTTTGACGCCTGACTCAATTGTGCAATTTCTAAAACCAGCAGGATCAAAAGCTGAAGAAAACTGCAGTTCATCTGCTGGAGACCTTACATTTAAATGATCGCAGACCGATCGTATAAACTGTGTGATTTGTCTAAGTTGATTCCTACGTTTTCATTCAAAATTGTCTTTGCTTTATCATTCCAATAAACATCTTCACTCAGGTATTGTGCTTCTAATTTGCGTATTCTAGAAAAGCAAAATTGATGTGCTTCAATAGATGATAAATTATTTCGCTGCAACAACATTGATAGATTAGCTAATTCAGTTAATAAATCATTAACGGTATAAAGCGCAATTTGATACAGGGGATCTTTTAATGATTTCAAAACATAACAACAAACAGGATCATTGTAGTCTTGGACTTGTTCTTCACAGTAAGCAGCTAAAGCATCAAGATTTCTAACAAAAGCACTGACAGCAAAGTGACGTTACAATAAACTTCGTAAATTGGTCGAAAAGAAATAACATCCATATCATGCACCTTGGCCAATTCTTCAAATGCGCCCTTTTTAACTGAAGGTCGAACTCAGTGCTGTTCAACAAGGTGGGGGACCTTAGACTTCAATAAAGCAGCTAATCCCTTCCTACGGCCTAACATAACCGATGCCCCGTCTGATGTTATCATTACCATGCAGTTTCATTTCAAGTCGATGTTCAGTATAGTGTTGTGTTATGGCTTCCAGAGATGAGGCATAACATGCGGTAAGCTGAATTATTCCACCAAAAACGGTTTTGTAGAATAAAGAATTGACTGAACGAAATTTAAAATAAAGGATTAGCATTTTATGTACAGTTATGTCAGTACTTTCATCAACTATAAGCGTGTGGAACGATGCTACTCGAAGTTCTGTCAGTGTGTTCTTTACAACCACCTCGTTGATTGCTTCAACAAACTCAAAAGGCGTAATTCTTACTTCGCCAACTGTCTGATATAGAAACATACTTCCCCATGTGGTTATGAATCAGTTGTACCGACAGCATCGAGGCGTGTATCCTAATGGCGAGAAGAACATTATCCATTAGGATTAGAACTTGATCCTTGTTTGACCGCTGGCGCTCATTTTATTCAACTCGTTCTTCTCGCTCAGTGTTAGTTTCAAGTACTAGCAGCGCAGAACTTATACTTCAGGTGCTTTCTAATTCAACTGAAACATTCTTAGAATATGGCGTTTCGGTTCTCACTTTAACTTTGAGCCATTCCAGTTTAAACGAATCTCTCGGTCTTTTCTTTTTGCTGCATTGTTTTACCGCTTGTTACACACATTTTTCTTTTCAACATGTTCAAATAGCACAGAGTAGTAAACTTTTATTCCTTATTTATTAAACCAGTCTGTGAATACTGAAACAGTTCGATCCATGTGCACGTAATAATCCCAAGAATTGGATATACAGTATATAAATCCTTAAACCAAACAGAGCGAAAAAAAAACAACACATCCACCGTTAGAATAGTAGAATTTGCATCTGACTTGGGTAAATCGTGAAAGTATCAAGGAGGTGGGTGGGGTTGGGAGATGGGGGAGGGCGGTGGCAATAGAAAATAAAACCTTCCATGGTCAGCTACAAGCCGTGATGCCTTTCAGGTATTAGGTGTCAGTGCTGCGGTCAGTTTTGGGGTAAACCATTAAATCAAGCAGAGGGAGTGTCACCCAGACATTAGATCGGAACCCGCCCCGCTCAGTTTAGAGTTGTCATTAACTGGACCTGTGGTATGACAACCGAGGTCACCCCCTCCCCCCAGTCAATGCTACCTGTGGTTTATGCCCCAAAACACAAAGACTGTTCGTTTAAAAAAACAGGTACTAAAATGTCGCTTCATTCAAGCCACTGGCTACAATTTTTTTAGTGCATTAGGCTTGCCCGACGTTCTGATAATCTGTGCGCGGCATCAAAAAATGTCTGCGCGGCACATTTGAAAGTACTGCGCGGCCGCTCAGCCGCGCAGCTTAGAGGGAACACTGATTACTACACTCAAAACTTCACAAAAAACATATCATCACCTTATTCAAAACCACACCGAATCAAAATATCGCCTTATTCAAAACCACACCGAATCAAAATATCGCCTTATTCAAAACCACACCGAATCAAAATATCGCCTTATTCAAAACCACACCGAATCAAAATATCGCCTTATTCAAAACCACACCGAATCAAAATATCGCCTTATTCAAAACCACACCGAATCAAAATATCGCCTTATTCAAAACCACACCGAATCAAAATATCGCCTTATTCAAAACCACACCGAATCAAAATATCGCCTTATTCAAAACCACACCGAATCAAAATATCGCCTTATTCAAAACCACACCGAATCAAAATATCGCCTTATTCAAAACCACACCGAATCAAAATATCGCCTTATTCAAAACCACACCGAATCAAAATATCGCCTTATTCAAAACCACACCGAATCAAAATATCGCCTTATTCAAAACCACACCGAATCAAAATATCGCCTTATTCAAAGTTTACTCAAAACAACTAGCACCACAAACAAAATACCTTTTTATATTTCAGTCGACAGACCTACTCAGAGAGGTTGCCATCATCAAATCCAATAATCCCATCGCTGTGTACTTCCATCTTCAGAACACAGTCACGTGTAAAACTAACGACGCCTTCAGTCTGCTAGTCCCTGTTGAGCTCTTCCTCAATTTCTACTATTGGACGTAATATATAGTCATACTCGAGTCTATATATATATATATATATAAATATTATTATATGTATATATATATATATATATATATATATATATATATATATATATGTATGTATGTATACAATTATATATATATATATATATATATATATATATATATATATATGTATGTATACAATTATATATCTATTTATATATATATATATATATATATATATATATATGTATACAATTACATATATATATATATATATATATATATATATATATATATATATATATATATATATATATATATATATATATATACATTGTTAATATCTTAAAGATAAAAAATCGTACATCTGCTACTAAAGGATGATCATAATCATAGCATAGTTTCATGTACTATGAAACAATTTTTCGTACTGCTTAGCTATGATTTAGTGTTTTTATTTGTCAGGTTGTTTATAGAATATCTTGTATAATATGTGTATGGTTGTTTATATCGCGTGTCTTTGATTATATGTATTAAGTTGTTAATGGAAAGTCTTGGATAATATTTGTGAGTTAGGTTATGAACTGTGTCGCTGGTTACAGAAGATGTGTAGAATTCGATATGTGAGATTGGTCATTGTATTTGTCTTGAATTTCAGCGCTCACATGCCGAACAGCGAAGATATTTATAGATTGAACTCTGACCTCCAGGTGATATTTATCTTGAGGGAGCCCCAACGCAAAATGCTTATCTTGGATGGTATACTGCTGGACGATGTAGTACTAAGGTAAGGCTTTGTGAATTCAGTCGGGTCGTGTCCGATGTGTGGATGGCGTGTGGACGAGGTAGTACTTAGGTAAGGCTTTGTGAATTCTGTCGGGTCGTGTCCGATGTGTGGATGGCATGTGGACGAGGTAGTACTTAGGTAAGGCTTTGTGAATTCTGTCGGGTCGTGTCTGATGTATGGATGGCGTGTGGACGAGGTAGTACTTAGGTAAGGCTTTGTGAATTCTGTCGGGTCTTGTCTGATGTATGGATGGCGTGTGGACGAGGTAGTACTTAGGTAAGGCTTTGTGAATTCTGTCGGGTCTTGTCTGATGTATGGATGGCGTGTGGACGAGGTAGTACTTAGGTAAGGCTTTGTGAATTCTGTCGGGTCTTGTCTGATGTATGGATGGCGTGTGGACGAGGTAGTACTTAGGTAAGGCTTTGTGAATTCTGTCGGGTCTTGTCTGTTGTATGGATGGCGTGTGGACGAGGTAGTACTTAGGTAAGGCTTTGTGAATTCTGTCGGGTCGTGTCCGATGTGTGGATGGCGTGTGGACGAGGTGGTACTTAGGTAAGGCTTTGTGAAATCTGTCGGGTCGTGTCCGATGTGTGGATGGTGTATGGACGAGGTACTTAGGTAAGGCTTTGTGAAGTCCGTCGGGTCATGTCCGATGTATGGATGGCGTGTGGACGAGGTAGTACTTAGGTAAGGCTTTGTGAATTCTGTCGGGTCGTGTCCGATGTGTGGACGAGGTAGTACTTAGGTAAGGCTTTGTGAAATCTGTCGGGTCGTGTCCGATGTGTGGATGGCGTGTGGACGAGGTGGTACTTAGGTAAGGCTTTGTGAAATCTGTCGGGTCGTGTCCGATGTGTGGATGGCGTGATCGAGTGGTAGAGCGTGCGGTAGTATTTTTATTAGCGTACGCAAGGTTCGAGGCCCCCCCCCCCCGCCTCCACTCACATCTCTCATTAATAAATATTGTATGTTGAGAGTGCTCTAATCAAGTTAGAGAAAGTAAAGGCGTACGTTAGGCATAATGCTGAACACACTAACCTTTCATGCGTCGAGGGCAGAAAAACAGGTGAACTCTACTTCATCTGCATTGTTGACCGTAAGGTTCGGCAGAGTAATTTTGAGCTGGGGGTAGCAAAGATCGTTGACGCTGAGCCACATGATGTCCACAGTCATTTTTTTATACGATAAGGTCATTGAAACAGACACTCTACTTCATCTGCTCTTTAAGACCAGCTAGGCTAAAAATGGGCTTAGCAGTTTTGGGTTTGGTTAATTTTATCATCACTATCATCATTGGCTCATTTGCCTGAATAGACGATTTAATCGAGGACTGGAAATCCAGACGCAAAGCCTTGGCAGCACGTTGAGAATAGCCAATACATCAGGATTCATCTCTAACTATAGCTGATAGCCCACATTATATGCGATAAAACATTTCAAAACTGTGTTGCCCATATTTGTATGTTTTATTACCCCGTTTCCTGTACCCTAATCAATGATTTTAAACCATAAACATAAGACCTACTACTTCGAGCATACTGAATTATTACCTAAACCTTAGACACAAATAGAATATTCACCCTAATCAAACCCAAGGAAGAAATACAATTCCTGTGTTACCTGCCGGTTCTAGACTATCAACAACCGACACCCTCATTTAGCCTTATCAATGAGTCTGTTGTGATATCTTGTGATATAAGGAACTCCGTTTACACTTTATATAACCTTGTAATATAACGACCTCTCAGCGTCCACTTCTTACATTTGAACGTTGTAATATAAAGACCTCTACTTTAAACTACCTTGTAATATAACGTACTCTGCATACACTTTATTCAACCTTGCAATATAAAGACCTTCGCATTCACTTTATACAACCTTGTAATATAACGAATTATCCACTTTATACAGCCTTGTAATATAACAAGCTTCGCATCCACTTTAAACAACCTTGTAATACAACGACCTATCCACTTTATACAACCTTGTAATATAACGACCTCTCAGCGTCCACTTCTTACATTTAAACGTTGTAATATAAAGACCTCTACTTTCAACTACCTTGTAATATAACGACCTCTGCATACACTTTATACAACCTTGTAATATAACGACCTCCGCATCCAATTTATACAACCATGTAATATTTACCTACGCATTCACTTTATACAACCTTTTAATATAATGACCTCTGACCCCCAGCATGCCGCCAAACTCTCGCCTTAAGTGGCACGCTTACCCGGTCCCCATAAACCCCGGCTTCCACTCGGCCTACACGCTGGACGGCGCACCTTTCGGCTGCTACATCTACCTAGCTGACGTCACTTCCGTAGGGCTCCACCCTGCAGGTTACATCACTGGCGAGATCCATAGGGTGAGGGTCACTGTGTGGGGTGGGGGTTAAAGGGGGAGAGGTGCCCAGGGGATAAGGGGTCGTCCATAAATGACGTCACACTCGTAGGGGGGATGGAGGGTCTGCAATTTTGTGAGGGGGGGGGGGTGGGTTGTAGACTGAGGTGTGACGTCATTTTTTTTTGGGGGGGGGGGGGTCTGGCTTTTTGTGAGGATGTGTGACGGAGGGGAGGGAGGGGGAGGTAAAAATAGTTTTAAAAAGCGTGACGTCATTTATGGATGACCCCTAAAGGTTAGAAGTGCCTGGAAAATCCCTAAAATAGTTACTGAGCATTTCAACAAGTCTATCTTTGAGTACCTTACGTATATATCGGTTGCTAATACAGATTATTTAATTTGAAATAGTTAAAAAGTTATGATCGTTATGACTGGCGAGATCCATAGGGTAAGGGTCACTTTATGGGGTGGGTGTTAAAGGGGATAGGTGGGAGGGGGCTTGCATAAATTTAAAGCACAAGAAAATTCATTCTCGCTTTTATTAATCCACGTTTCAAGAATAATTAAACGAAAACATCATTATCATACATTTTATGACATAAATATTTCAAGAGAATTTCGCGTGATATGAGAGATGGGGTGGGGGTGCTTTGGTGACTTTAAATTAAATACTATGTCACTGGGGGAAAAAAGGGGGTGTAGTCTGTATAAAATAGTCATATCTTAACTTCTTTGCGTTTTTCTGATAATTTTTTTTGTTTCTAATTCCGTGCCACGAAGGACCAGAGAAAATGCCAAAAGACGGCAGGGGTACCTGGCGACAAGATCGATAACGATTGTGACGGTTATATTGACGAGGATTCGGCATTCATCACCTGCTCGCTGAAGGATCTGGATCAGTGCTGTAAGTCGGTGCTTGTGGGCGGAAATATTGTTTTTTTATAGAGTTGTAGCCCTTATATGACTGTACTTGTTGCATAAAATATCGTCTTTTTGATGGAGTTGTAGCCTTTGAAAGACAAATTGTGGTGGAAACCAGGATCGTCTCAAGGGGGGGGGGGGGTTCCAATTTTTACCCGGGGACAAACTTTCGATTTGCACCCCCCCTCAAACTTTCTTCGATTTGCACCCCCCCCCCCCTCAAACTTTCGATTTGCACCCCCCCCCTCAAACTTTCGATTTGCACCCCCCCTCAAACTTTCGATTTGGACCCCCCACTCATACTTTTTATATATACCGAGGGGTCTATGGGGGGGGGGGGGTTATGACCCCCCCTAACCCCCCCTGCCTACGCCACTGGTGGAAACATTGTCTTTTTGGTAGAGTTGTAGCCCTTGTATCACTTTACTTGCTGCATAAAAACATCGTCTTTTTGATAGAGTTGTAGCCCTTGTAAGACAGTGACAGTAATCAACACATTGTGATTTTAAGAGCTTTAAAACGCCTTTATTTAAATGAAGGCTTTTGTTTTTACAGATAATACTCATCAATCGATTACGAACCATGGGAATGATTATAGAGATCTAGCTCTTCCTCCACCAAGTACGTTATTTCATATATATATATATATATATATATATATATATATATATATATATATATATATATATATATATATATATATATGTGTGTGTGTGTGTGTGTGTATAAACAGAGGTAATATCTTCTTAAGCCATTAATAGCGCAAATGAATTATAGTGACAAAGTTTTTCTCTACCATTTAGTTACAGGCAAATGGAGCAAATGGTCTGAGTGGCATTGCTCAGTTGACTGTGGAGCTTCTGAGTTTTACGTTAGAAGGTCGGTCTAGTCATGTTGTCATGTAGAGAGTTTACGTTAGAAGGTCGGTCTACTTATGTTATCATGTAGAGAGTTTACGTTTGAAGGTCGGTCTAGTCATGTTATCATGTAGAGAGTTTACGTTAGAAGGTCGGTCTACACATGATGTCATGTACTGGGTTATATAATTGCTTGAACAATGTAGAGTCCAGTGGTAAAAGTACTTTAAAGATGCCTTTGTGAATACGAATTGCTTGATCTAAATCCCTGGTATTAGCCTTTTGTGGAGATTTGACTTATCTGGACCAACAAGTCTATCGAGGAAAAAAAACCTTATTTCAAAACCATTAGGGGAGGTCTTTATATATAATTTCTTAAAGAATAATGAAATACATGTGTATTTTCATTTTATACAATTATTATAAGGAGAGTGCGAATGGCGTTTTGTGGTTTTAGTATACAAGTGAAGAAAAAAAAAGTAATAATATAGAGGTTGAGAAAAAATCAAATAAAAATGTGTTTTAGTTTTGGTACCACTTCTAATCTTCTCCAACCCTTGTTATTACTTTAAATGATATGACAACGTATACAACTATCTATATGAACTGACAGCGGATGTAAATACTTATAAAATTATATGAAAGAACACGTAGGTTAAAAAAATGTTTCTAAGTATCTTTAAATAATTGGAACTTATGTAAGTGTAATAAAGAATCCTCTTTAGACCTAGCAACCCATTGAGCAGATGAGGTAGAGTTCATATGTTTCTTGACCTCGGCATATCAAGGGAAATGTTGGTCAGTACTTTACCCAGACGCCGTTAGGTACTCATCAGTGCTGGGTTGACTCAGGGACGTTCTACTGACTGGGTACTCAGATTCTAACTCGAGAATTTTGGCTTAGTAGTCTCGCGCTCTACGACTAAGGTCACGCCATCCTACTTAAGTTAGTAGTTCTAATGTTAGGGTAGAGTGTATATCGTAGAACATTGATACTGTAAAAATGTTTTTGTGTTTGAACCAAGGCGGGTATGTCACAGACCGTACAACATCGAATTACTGTAAAAATGTTTTTGTGTTTGAACCAAGGCGGTCATGTGACAGCCCGGCACCCAGCAGCCATGGTACGGCGTGTGTGGGCGTTGATGTGGAGACCCACAGGCTGTACTGCGACACCCAGGTCCGGTGCCAGAACGGTGAGTGGGGCTAGTCTGCCAAGTTCAAGGCCACATTCACGTTCTATGTATTTAAAAAAAGGGAAGTGGGGGGGGGGCGAGGGTAGACTTTAGTAGTGTTAACTCCGTGAGTTACAGGAGTGATATGAAGGGGCGTGGCGGGGAGGGCGGGAAAGACTTTATTGGCGTTTGCTACGTGGGGGTACGGGTGTGACAAAAAGGGGCGGGGCAGCGATATCAGATAGCGAGAAACAGGAATTTTAAACCTCACTGTAGGAGAACAAAGAACGGGGTAATGAGGTGACAAAAACTGGCACAGACAACGGGGTGTGACTAAATGATGTTCACTCTTTTCAATTAGTTTCCGTGCGCGTGTGTGTGTTGGGAGAGATGGGGGTATAGGCCTAATAATTTTAATACTTTTAATAAAATACTTAAAATTTTTTTTTTAAAAAACCACGTTTTTCTTGTGGACTGAAAAGTAGAAAATAAATTTTTCTTTTGTGCTTCCTCGAGCTGTGCAGATTCTTGTGATGACTGACAAAAAACGTGGGTACGTTCACCATCAAATTTCCCGACCCATCTGCCCGACCCACGTTTTTTGTCAGTCATCACAAGAATCTGCACAGCTCGAGGAAGCACAAAAGAAAAATTTAATTTCTACTTTTTAGTCCACAAGAAAAACGTGTTTTTTTTTTTTTAAATTTTTAAGTATTTTATTTTCTCCTTTTTAGTCCGTTGCTACACATGAAAAACGTGGTTTTTAAAAAGTTTTTTATATAGTTTATTTTCTACTTTATCTAATCACTTGATTAAGTATGACTTGACTAAGTGTTTTTAAATACACGGACTAAAAAAATCTTGAGCGACCGATACGCTTTAAACAGAGAAAGGGTGTAATTTACGTTGCTGGCGTGGAGATCTACTCACGAATCACGTGATCAAATCTCCCATAAACAAACAAATAAACGCGAAGCTGAGTTAAGGAAAAACGTGTTTATGTGTATTTTAGCATGCCCAGCGTACCAACCGTGTCACCGTTAACAATGTGTTACCGTGTCCGTTCTCCTTTTTAGTCCGTTGCTACACGACAAAAAACGTGGGTCGGGCAGATGGGTCGGGAAATTTGATGGTGAACGTACCCACGTTTTTTGTCAGTCATCACAAGAATCTGCACAGCTCGAGGAAGCACAAAAGAAAAATTTATTTTCTACTTTTTAGTCCACAAGAAAAACGTGGTTTTTTAAAAAGTTTTTTTTAAGTATTTTATTAAGGTCATTATACCATTGTTACCTATTACTTTCTTAAATTTGTTTCTGAATCTATTTACATGTTTATATATATACTTGTTTATAAATATACGTTTATATATACATGTTTATATATAAATATAAATAAATATAAATAAATAAATATATAAATATATATATATATATATATATATATATATATATATATATATATATATATATATATATATATATATATATATATACATATATATATATATATATATATATATATATACATATATATATATGTATATATATATATATATATATATATATATATATATATATATACATGAATTTAATCTATTACTATGACAGCCTGATGTACTTGTTTCAATCACAGCTTGCCGGAGAGGATTTTTTGGGCCAAGGTGCACTAAAAACTGCTCCAACTGCGAATCTGAGTGTGTGAAAGACACGGGTTACTGCCCTTTGTGCAAGCGAGGGTGGAAGGGGTATGCATGTCAGCAAGGTAACAGTGCCATGTCCCGTGTGACAGTGTCATTTTACCTGGCACCAATTTGTCAGTGCCAGTTATACAAGGTCAATATCATTTTGTCTGTTTGTCAACTGTGAGTATTTGGTAGAGTCACTTTGTCATTAACTGGACTGAATTCCTAAATTTTTGCTTTCTTTTAACGACATTCTAATGCTAACCCTATCCCTATGCCAAATCCTAACAAAATTCCAATCAAGTTCACACTGTTCAAATGGATTCTAAACTGACGTTACGATAAAAAAAGACGGCTTGGCATAGTGAAGACCACACTATCCCTTCATATGCCGAGTTCTTTGAAGCAGACAAACTCTATTTCTTCTACCCCATATGTCTTGGGCACGAACGGAAAAGATGATACCGAGGTTACTGACAGTGGCGTAGTCAGGAATTGGTCATGGGAGGGGTTCAAATATTTTCCCCAATGTCTAAAATCTTTTATATATATATATATATATATATATATATATATATATATATATATATATATATATATATATATATATATATATATATATGTAGGGGTGTAAGTCCGTGGGAGGGGTTATAACCCACCCTAACACTCCCCCCCCTTGACTACGCCACTGGTTACTGATTCAGATAAAATCCACCGTGTGTTTTGGGCACGAACGGAAAAAGATACTGAAGAACAAAACGAAAGTTTAAACTATTTTAACTCCACCTCTAGCCTGTGACCCTATGACCTATGGATACAACTGCAAATACTCGTGTGCTAAAAAATGTGGAGGGAAAGATTGCATCGACCGTGAAATGGGCATCTGCCCACCTTGTAAGTACATTATGTGATGCATTTATGTGCGCTAGTATTTATGTGATATGGCAATAGTGTTTAACTATTTACATGAACTGACATCAGTATGTAAGTTATGGCTTAGTATACAGTTGCAAAAAGGTTCATTGAGGGTTACAAAGCATGTGTAGATATTGTAGCATATGTAAGTAAAATATAGTTTTAGTGTAAAAGTTAGTAAAGCTTCCTCTTTAGACTTAGCGATGAATTGGGTAGATGAAGTACAGTTCATATATTTCTTGACATCGGCCTATGAACTGGATGATGTAGTCAGCCCTATGCCCGGGTGTCTTTACTTTCCCTAACGTGAGTTAGGTACCCATCAGAGTTGGGTGGACTCAGGGACGGTCTACTGACTTGAACCCGGATTCAAACTTGTGACTTTCGGGTTTAGAGCTAGTGTAAATATAGAATGTATATAAGATTTAATTTACTAAGGAATAAAGGAGCCTGAATAATTACACATAGAACATAATAATGTTTTTTAAAAGTAAAACTACTGATAATGAGCGTAGACCGAGTTTTATTTCAATACTTTTTATAACAAAGCACTTGATGTATTTAAAAGCAATGAGCATTTCCTTAAATGAAATGATAAAATTACAGCAAAAAAAAAAAGTCAAACAGATATAAGCTACTAGGCATTGAAACCTAGCTTGTCAAAACGGAGATCTAGACTATGATCACCATAAAAGGTGATCTTACTAAAAAACTTATTAAACTGGCATATCTATATATATATAATTCTCTTCTGGGAGACGCTAGAAAACAAGCTGCGCGCCTTGCAGTCCCCTCTCTTCCTCTCTATCACTACCCCCCCCACCCCCACATGGTCTGGTGAGCTGTGGTTCACGATAGATGTTTACAATCCGGGTTTAGTGACGGTTATTAGGGGCAGATAATTTTGTTTGAAACGATTTTAAACTTTACATGAGGTAACTAAGAGGAGGCTGCTTTCGCGGGGGGGGGGGGGGGTTAGGGTTGGGGGAAAGGGGGGGGGGGGGGGGCTAGGGTAGGGGTTGGGAGGGGGAGGTTAGTGTTTTAAAGCAAATATTTTCAGTGGCAGCATTGGTACTGTCGAATTCACAAATTATGAATTACTGAAAAGTAGAAAATAAAACAACTAAATAGCGGCGTATGATATGCCGCGGGTCGGTTCGTTTTAAGAAAAGTTACTGCAGTCTAACAAAATAGTTTGTGTCGAAGACAACTCAATACAAACCATAAAAAG